GTACCTCATATTACAAAACTAAGACCCAATATGTCTGCGTTGGGAATTTGAAGAGCCAGGATTTGAACCCCGGTCTCTGGGACTCCAAGTCCTGTGCATTCCACTACACCCTGATCTCTGGAGTTAGGGGGTCTGCTGTCTACCACTTCTCCTAACATTTTTCAGGGGGAGACACTTCAACGCTGCGTCTTAGTTCCCCATCTTAGATGCTGAGATGCTGGTTATTTTTGTAAGAACTTTGGCCAGTTCTCTCCACGTCCTGTAAATTGTTAAATGCCCTTGGTACTTAGAGATTTCCCTCCTGAGGGAGCCAAAGGGAAATGATTCCCATTCTTAGTTGGATATCTTAACATTTAAAATTTCCTTTTGGTTCTCACAAGGTGCATCGCAAGCTTTTCCTTCTAGTTCTGATGTCTGTGCCCAAAGCAGGCCTGCGTCTTTGTTCTTATCTCTCTGGAACTAACCTAGTTCCCACGTGGTAAGGATGTTCCCAAGCCACCAAAGCACATCACTCTGTCGTCACTTGAGTAGCTTTCCTTCCTCTAGGCCGCCAAGCGATTTGTTCTTGCATTTCTCAGACAGATGCTTTGAGGACACATAGCTTTCCTGAATATTTTTATTTTTAAATGTCACGCCTTCAGATTTTATTGTTTGACTGGCTTCCTTCCCTTGAGGAACCAAACTGACATCACAAAAGTGTGTCACTTTCCTCAGACCTCAGCTTTCTCATCTCATCATGGACGTCCAATCGATTTGGGCTCTTAATCTGGGGTCCATGAGCTCCCAGGTGGCCTCAAGTGTGGCTCTCTTGAAACTTCACGCGGACTTTGGATGCTGGCCTGGATCCCTGGCTGACCTCAGATTCCCACAGGTTCCATAACCCAGAAGTCAGGAGTCACTGAAATAGGTGATCTTTAAAGATGCTTTTTAATTCAGAAATTCCATGAGGCTCTCACCAATTGTAGGAGCTCAGAAACCAAGGCTGGGCGTCTGTCAGCAGACAGTGCCCTGGTCGGGGAAGCTCAGTGAATGTCTGCTGAAGCTCATGAAGGTTTCCGAGAGGCGCTTCCCCTCCACTCGCTGGACTGGTTGTTCTAAACTTGCTCGGCCAAAATGATGCCCCTCAAATCCAAGAACTTGGTTGATGATTCTTAACTCTTAGGCGTTTTGTATGTATGTTTTTGTCCAATTAAGCTGTCCCTCAAATAATAAAAGGGAAAACTTTCACTTTTCAAATGAGAAGGTTCGCAAGTCCATAATAAATGCCATACTTTTGCATTTGTTCTTGCTTTTCCTTTCAACTGAAACTCACATTGGACTTTTAGCTAATCAAGACCAGCAAAGACAGAAAGAACCCTCGTTCTTGTCTGACTGTTTTGTTAACGGACTGGGGAGCCAGGGGAGGGAAGTGACTCATCCAAAGACACACAGGCTGATGGGAGCTGGAGCCCAGCATCCTGCCGCACAGCACGCCTCCTCCAGACCCCTCCCCGACTTGGCTCACCCCCTTCTGCTGTTCAGAGAATACACACCTACACACACAAGGGACGGACCTGTGTGACATCAGCTTGGGAGGCGACCAAGGAGTGGGAAGTCACAGGCAAGTGTTCGCACATCTGCAGAGTTGGGGGTGGCGGGAAGGACTGGACAGGTGACTAAGGGGAAGGAAAGCAGCAAAGCAGGGACTTAGCACCAAAAATGGAAGTTTGACAACCCAGTCACAAGGGTCACGTGACCGTGAGGAAGATGACTAGCCACATTGTGCTGACGAATGCCCATCGTGGCACCACCGAGCCCCTCCGTGCTCTGCTCCAGCCTCTTCTCCACACCACCCCCCTCTCCCAGCCTGCAGACACCCTACGGGTCACCCCAACCGGGAACTCGCCACTCCCTGTACCTCCTTTCACATCCCCACCCCTGGGCTGTGGCAGGCCTATGTGTTTGCCGTGAACACCACCCTCTGGCTGTGTGCCTCCCACAGAGCTCCCAGGTCAAACCCCACTTCTCTTACGCAGCATTTCCAGATGGCCCCTTCCCCTCCTGGTGCTCATCATCTCTCCGCATCTTGAACCCTCAGAGTGAGCTGCTGTCTGTCCTCCTCTCTGCATTATAATTACTTGTGGACATGCCATTTCCCCAGTGGAGATGACACACTCCTTTAGTTGGGGTCAGTCATCTTTTATCTTTTCTTTCATTCAACAAGTATTCATTGAGCGCCTTCCATTGATCATGTGTCCTGGTCTCTCTCATTGTGACACAGACAAGCAAAGGGGCAAATGCCGTAGAGCTGAAGACGTGCCCCGCAGGTGAGGTGCAGAGGGCTGTGGAAGCACAAGGTCAGAGCATTTAATCCGTCTTGCAGGGGCGGGAGGACGCCAGGAAACGCTTCTGGAAGGACATCTGAGTGGAGAAGTGTAGGCAGGTGGCAGTCACCCAGGCACACAGCGTGGGGGCTTTGGGAGGTGAGGCTGGCCTGCTGTGTAAACAGCCCGGCACATGGTCCGCGGAGCCTAAGAGAGACTTCCCAAGAGCAACAGGAAGAACCCTGATGGTCTCCCCTCTGTCTCTCACAGCATTTAGCACGGAGCCTAGAACATCCTTGATGCTTGGATGGAAGAGAAATGGTCGTAACAGTCAGAACACCTGCGATTTTAAGGCTCTCAGGCATTTCCCTCTGTTCACTGGTCAGATACACGTGAACTTTTGGTTCAGCTCCCCCAGCAAGAGGAGTGGCCGGCAGTTTTCCCGATAACACAGACTGGTCTGGAGCACATTTATCTACAGTGACTCAGCCTGAGCTCGCACCATCCTGACGGCCACCAAAGAACAGTGTCACTGAAGTCCTTTCCATCTTTAGCTCTGTCGCCCAGAGGGCCTCGCGAGCAGGAAACTTCTTTTGAAGGACCCCGTTTCCCGAGTATCAGGGTCCTGTTCCCAGGCACAGGAGGGGCAGTGAAGGGGCTGGGAGGGAGGTGTGTGGGCAGGGGCCCCTTTCCCACAACCCTCTAGCTCTCGTAGGGAGCGAGGCCCACAGCCTGGGCGCCACATGGAAGAGAGGAGAGAGGGCTGGGACGGGAAGTGGTCCACTGGCGGCCTGGAGGCCCACCAAGAACGGGACATCGATTTCATCAAGCCTGGCACCCGTGTGGCCAGCTCCTCCTCTCGCCCCTCCATCAGGAAGGGAGCGTGTATACCCCTAGCCCGGCCCAGGGCTTGGCACCACGCTCTTCCTGTGCGTGCTGGGCCTGGAGCAGGTCGCTGTGACTCACTGCTGACAATAACGAGGTCTCCGGGCACCACGACTGACCGGGAATGTTTACAGAACCGTTCCTGTGTCAGACATTTAACTCTGTTCCGCCAGCCACTTCACCAGCGAACTATTCTTTCCCTCACTGGCCGCACCCTTTCTTCCCCAGTGAACACACATCCCAGGAGCGCCTGCCGGGCATGGCCTCCCCAGGTGCTGCAGTGCCCCTCAGCCCCACACCCGGAGCTGGAGCAACATCCACCTTGTGGAGCCTTCCCTGTGCCGGGCACCACCCCCCCTACTTTATCCTCACAGCCCGCCCCCACCACCGCCCCCCCCCCGGAGGGAGGGACCGCCTGGCACAGGAGAAGCCCGCGCTGGGAGGTTAAGTGGCTGCTAGCGTGAGGCTCGGCCTGAGTGGTTACATGTCCCACACCGCCCTCCCGCAGCACACGGCCCCCTCCCCACTGCTGGCTGGAGCTGGAGGTCTGGCCTCACTCGCGTGTGAGTCTCTGTGGGCTCCAAGCGCACCTCCATCACTGCAGTCCTGGCACTGCTGACCCAGGCTCCTCGAGGGCAGGGATGGGTGACCCCTGCCCCCTGCCCCCAGGCTGGTGTCTACAGGTCTTGAGTAAATATTTGTTGAGTGAAAAATGAAACTTTAAAGGGAAATGGGGACACCAGGTCTGAGATCAAGCAGTCTCCTGTGAGCATCGTACACAGCAGACGACAAATGGTTTGGAGCGACATCGTCAAGAATTCCACTGGGTGCTAAAGACATTCTAGAATGTTCTCATTTCCAGAAGCAGCTCCAGGTCACCTGGGATGGTCGCTTCCATTTACAAAATGCTGACCATGCGCCACCCCAGCCCCTGTGCGAGCACTTCTCTCACGTGACTTCCTGGAACCCTCCCGACCACTCTCTGAGGTCCGTGTTACCAGGTCCATTTTAAAAATGGGGAACTGAGGCTCAGAAAGGGAAGTCACTCCCAAGCACGAGACATTGGGAGGTAGGCAGGCACGCACACCTGGCTTCGTTGACATTTGGGGTATTGAACGGCATCGCCACATTGGAATCACGATCGAATTGCCAAGTTTATCTCCCCCACACACACCAAACTCTCAGCGCTCAGAACACCCTACAGCCACCTTGGTCCGCACTCGGAAATCTCTGTAGCTGACACGGACAGAGGAGGGGACGGTCACGTGAAGAGCGGGCGTGCCCATTCAGGGACCCAAACCTGTGAGGCCGGTGCTGGGCCTGAACGGTCCTCCCGAAGCAAAGCGCACTTGTTCGCAGTGAACAAAGGCCTGTGCACCCACAGACAGACAGGACGCAGACCACGGAGCAGCACGGCGTGCCACGGAGCAGTTCTCGCACAAGAGCAAACCACACTGAGCACACCGAAGCCTGTGTTCCAGCTGTTAGTCTGAGCAAACCGCGGTGATCTCCGCAGCGGGAATGGGGGAGGGAGGCCTTCCTCCTTCTCAGGGGCTTGTGCAGGAGGTGCCCAAGGGGGGTCTTTGGAATCCCCTCAAATGGCCAGAATAGAGCCTGACTTTTGCCACCGACTTCCCAGCCCTGACACCTTCATCCAGGACCCCTCTGTTCCCTCCTGGGTATTTCTGCTCCCAAGACAAGCAAGTGGGTCTCCCTGGCATCACGTGGCCTCGGCAGGCGGACCGTGGGTGAGACGTCTGGCCCACCTGCCGACGGAGATGCCAAGGCACACACGTCATGCTGCAGGCCTACCTGGCGCACACCACTCCGAGCAGCCTTCCGCTCAGCCTGCTCGCCACCTCTACGCGGCTCTGTCTGCTCAGCCTCCCGTCCCGGGAAAGGGCTGCCCAGGGCCTGGCTGGGCTGGCTCTCCTCGGGGGTGCAGAGGTCTGAGAGTCTCTGTTCGGTGCTCAGGCACCTGACCACGTCTGAAGGTTTCAAGCAGCTCTTCTTAGAGATCGTGGGTCCGCCCAGGCATCTCTCACCTGCCTCCCTCTCTGCTTTCCTTTCGTACTGTCTGCTTTCTTCTCGCCACGGGCCCTGGCTGCTAAAGGCGTTGCTAAGCTCCGAGATGACTCTATCAGGGCTCCCAAGCAGAGGCTGGGAGAAGCTGCCCTGCGGGAAGCCTGGAGGGGGCCTGTGGCTGCCACTGTCTCCGTTGACGTGAAGGGAGGTCTGGGCACCAGGCACCGGGGAGTAGGCTCGGTGGGGGGCAGGGAGGGCCAGTGGGGAGACAATCGAGTGGGGCGTGGAACGACCCGACCAGCTCGAATGGGGGAGGCTGAGGGACAGGGAGGGACTAGGCCTTGTCAAAAAGGCAAGGTGGTCAGTGTAATAGACAGACGCCTCTGGCAGAGGAGGCAGAGGTGGGGTCAGGGCCAGAGGACGCCGGCCTGGGACCCCCACCGTCAGTGAGATCCACTCCGAGGTGACAGCCTGCATCTCAGGGGACAGGGCTCGGTGGGGGTGAGGCAGAGATGAGGGGGCTGGCAGGATGAGCTTGCTGTGACTGGGAAACTTAAAAAGAAAAGGAGAGAGAGGAAAACAAAAGGAAGAAGCACAAGGTAGAGTCAGCTTAAAGAAGAAAGGAGGAATAACCACAGGGACACACGGAGAGGCTGAAATGGAGACGAGCGGACACTCTGGTATCCAGAGGAAGCTGTCTGCTTAGGTTCGGAGAGAAGCTGAGACGTGTGCACGTGTGTGTGTGTGTGTGTGTGTGTGTGTGTGTGTGTGTGAGAGAACGTGTGCAGCTGGGGAGGGTGGAAGAAGTGAGTGGAGTGGGGGAGAGATAAAGGGGTCCCACTGGGCACTTACACCTGTGCCACCTGGTCTGCAGAGTCACTTCCAAAGGAACACACTGGAAGCTGCCCGCCTGCCCCACCAACACCTGGGCAACCGAGGCCCTGACCCAGAACCGAGGAAAAAACGGTGACCTGCCACTGCCCGGCCTTGCCTTGGGCTTTTATTCTCTCCAGGGGGCTCAGCAAAGAGCCTTCCAGAGAGGAGTATGAGCAGGGAGTCAGTTTTATAGTCTCGCTCGGCTACAGTCAGGCAAAACATTGAGCTGAAGTCCCTGTAATATAAAGTAGAATGTGCTGCACCGACCTCACACCCTGTGCCCACAAGATCACAGCAGGTGGACCTTGCTGGGCAGAGAACCTGCCAGTACCCATCTCCTGGGTCAGCCCTGGGTGTTCAGAGAGGAGAAAATGACCAGGGAGGAGAGGAGAGAGGACCATCCACTGTCACCTGGTCCCGGGCCTGCTCTCCTTCCTCCCGACAACCCACAGCAGCAGCAGGCGGGGCTCTGGCAGGAAGTCGCCCACATGCCTCTCCCGAGCCCAGGGTCCTCATTTTTCTTGGCTTTGGGGAAGTGGAGATTTGGAATAATTCATGTTTTAAAACCAGTTTGCTCGTAATGAATGTTCAGGAAAGCGAACATTTTGTGATAAACCCCCTTCCTTCAGCCCAGTGTACACAGAGGTGCTAGAAGTTACTTTTTAAACCTGGTCTCTGCTTGCAGAGGATAGTCTGAGTCTTTATCTTCTGCAGCCAACCTTGACCAATGAGGTGGCAAGGACCGACTGGGCCACGGCACGTAAGAACAGTGGAGGCACCCCGCCCGCTTCACTGGGTACTCCCGGCACAGAGTTCTGGACCAGCTGATAAAGGCTCCGATTTCTCTCCCTCTCCTCACCTTATCCCCAGAGCAATTTCCTTAAGCTCTCCCTTTTCTCCAACCAAGGGTGTGATAATATTTCCCAACAAGGGGTGAAAAGTGCCATTTGTATGCATGAAGACAGGCCCCAGTGTGTCTACACCCCCCTGCTGAGGACCGTTCTCAATCACAGGCTGAAGAGCCACCCTCGGGGGGCTGTGCCCTCAGCACCGAGGGGCTGTCACGCTGACTGTGAAAACCAGTGACGGGACGCGTAGGTACCTGTGGGCTCGCGGTGGCACTACGACTTGGGGAGGAGTAAGGCAGGTCGATGTAATCCACCCGGTTTTTCACCAGTGGCCTTTTGATCACGTCCACGTAGGTGATGGGGAAGATGCCTTGCCGGGTCGTCCCCGGGATCCTCCCTTCGTACCAGTTCTCGTCCACCTGTCGGAGCAGCGTGATCCTCTCACCCTGTAAGACACAGCAAGGCACGGTCCGTGTCCCACCATGCCCCAGCCCGAGGCCCTGCCTGCACCCCTCGCTTCCTGCTAGTTTAGCACACTCTTTGCTCACATGAACCTTCCTTGCTAGACCTGGAGAGAATTATTATCACTGGGATGAAGATGCTCCCAGCAGTGGAGCTACCTGGATGCTGGGAGGTTGAGCTTGGCCCGTAAATATTTCCGTAAAGAAGGTCAGACTCATTCCCCGAAGCTAGCAGGCAAATGGAGTGTTTTCACTCACTGGATGCATAACGGACAGATAGGCAAACTTCTTCTCTAAGGCAAAGGCTTTTTGGGAGGGGTTCTCTTTTTTCTTCCTTTTTATAACTTTATTTTTTCCTGTGTCATTATAGAAAAATTAAAGCACAAGCAATAGAAAGCAGAAATAATCGTTACCCATAATGTTATCACTCGGGCAACTACTGTTAATATTTTGATATATGTACTTCCCAGACTGAATTTTGTTTCTGTGAATTGGACTTGCACATCTTATTTTTCTTATAAAAACTGAGTATGCACTGTATTTCCCTTTTCCAACTTACTTTTTTTATACTAAACATGTAGTGAGCCTCGTTCTTTCTCAAGAACAATAATTCTACATTTCTAAGTGTTGGCAGCGTGAGGACCACTGTGGGCTGTCCCACTGCACATGCCTGCGCCGATTTAGTTGCCATTCACCTGATGCGTGGCACCTGGCTGCTTCCAGTGTTTCTTCTTTTCTATGAGGGGCTCATCTTTATCTGAGGCATATACTCACTTTCCTCAGTCCTCAATGAAATTAGTAACTTTAGTAAGCCAGAGAATTTTGGCAGGTAAAGTGTTGGAATTCCTGGGAAGAACATGTCTCTGCCAGTTTAACTGTGTTCAAAATAAGCAAGTGGAACCCTGGCTACTGTGGCTCAGCTGGTTGGGCATCGTCTGTAAACCGAAAGGTTTTTGTTTTGATTCCTGGTTAGGGCACATGCCCGGAGTTCGGCTCATTCCCCAGGAGGGAGCCTGCAGGAGGCAGCCAATGGATGTTTCGCTCTCACATGGGTGTTTCTTTCTCTCTCTCTCCCTCTCCCTTCCTCTAAAAATCAATAATAATATAAAATAAGCATGCTCAGCTCCTTGAAGGCAATAATGGATGATAATAATACTGGCATCATCTCCTGCTTACTGAGTACCAACTAGATGCTAAACGTTGTTTCATGTAATCCTCTTGCAACAGCTCTAGGAGAGCCACTTATCTTCATCTATAATAATAAAAGCATAATATGCTAATTAGACCAGACGGCCGAATGGCCTTCCGGATGTCTTCCGGAAGACCTTCCGGACGAAGCTGGGGCTGCGAGGCCAAGGCAAGCCGCCACAGCTGTGAGGGCCAAACCGCTTGCATGAATTTCATGCATCAGGCCTCTAGTTTTACATATAAAGAAAGGATGGCTCGGAAAAATTATTTAACTCCCCAAAAGCTGCACAGCTGAGAACCTGTGACTTTTGGCTTCACAGTTTTTCAAACTTCTCCTGGTGTCAAGACTTGCTTTTCTCGACTAGGCCAGAACCTGTGATGTAAAACCTAGTCACCTACACAGCGCCTATCACATCATTAGGTGCTCGACAAATGCCAACTGAATACAGTTTGTGGAAGGTGTGTAAGATTCCAGAAATGCCGTCTGTAATCAGTGAACTCAATGTAGTTAAACCCTGACACTCGCCTAGGGTTTATTTTTAAAATTATCTCAAAATTATCCAGTTGCCTTTCATGCACCCTTGACTGGCACATCTTTAAGGGGTTGCTGCCCTGCAATGCCACCTGCCCTGAGATCAGGGCCACCCAACAGGCCCGAAGCACGGGTGAGAGGGCTCACCTTCCTGAAGGACATTTCCACTTGCGTATCCCCATTGAAGTTGAACTTTGCGATAGCTTCTCCGTATTCCAAGATCTGCACCGGTGTCAACTTTTTGGGCTGAGCCTTCTCCGCAGGAGGAAGAAGCTGAGAAAGGAAACGAGGTGAAAGGGAAGAAGTGGGGACATGAGAGGAAAGGAGGAAACAAAACACAAGTTCCCGATGAATAGGTGGCCCTTTGGGCACGACCGGCGTTTCCCTAGGAAGAGGGGCTGCGGTACCTCGATGTAGGTGCGCGGGAAGATGCCCACCCGGCCGTGGTGCTCGCCTTCGTACCAGTTCTGGTCGATCTGCTTATAAATGTAAACAATGTCTCCCTTTTGCAGAGGAAGCTCCCTGTCAACAGAGGGTTATGCACTTTAGCAGACGTTTCAATGCATGTAAGATTAAGACGTGTAGATTTTTATAAAAGACTTTGAGGCCAAAAGGACCGAAGGACACAAGTGGGGCTCCGCATTTGGAAGTGAGAACCCTCCGAGGCGGGAAGTCACATCACCTGTGGCCCTTTTCTGGGCTTTTCTGGGGTGGATGCTAACTTTCAAACTGACCAGCGCTTGAAAGTGCTCAGGAGCCTATTAGCTTGTTGTGGTTTCTCCAAGAACTTTTTGCGAATGCTGTGCTATGCTCACGGTTTACATAACACCTAGCAACGCACTCATTAGTCTTAACTGATGTTCATTCAATGATGACAAACGTTTCCTTCTCGACACTTTCACTGCCTTTTCTACCCTCTTCTCTGCCCTGCCAAAGCATGTCTTCATTGCTTTCAATTATCATCAAATTATTTCTCTAATATCAATATCCTCGATCGTTCCATCCATCTCACCGTCCATCCATCAATGTGCAGTAGAAAGGCTCTAAAATTAGGCAGATCTGGATTCAAAAGCCAGTTATACCATCTACTAACTCTGGAACCTTGGGTGAAATACTATCTCTGAGATACTTTATCAAAATAGGAGCTAACTCAGAGTTGTTGGAGAATTCAGCAACAAACTACAAATAAAACACCCAGCACAGTGCCTGAGATGTAGTTAACACTCAGTAAATGCTATTTCCTTTCAGCATAAAGGGATCTTGGAGAGAAAAGTAAATTTTCAAATGTTCTTCATGCCCCTTTTCCAACCTCTTCATATCCATCCCTTTGTTTGCCTTAATAATGACGCTAACCTCTAATCAGGACTCCCTTAAAAAATAGAGACAAAAACATAAAACGAGAACTTAAAAGGAGAACAAAAATTGTAACTTGAAATTTTCTTGACTTGAAAACACACACGCCTAGATCTTTTCCATTTGCGCCACACCAACGCCGGGAAAGAAAGGTCTGCGCCTGCAGTTTGGAGGGGGGTGTCTGCTTTGCCCTGTGCCGGGAAGTCCCATGGACGTGAGAGATGCTGGCTGAACAATGGGGCCACATCTGGAAAACCTTACACAAAGCCGGCACTGTGCCGGATGAAGGAACAAGGCAGCCTTTGTGGTCTCTCATTGGTAGACGGGACTCTAATCTGAAAGAGGCCCGTGAAGGGATCCGGGCACCTGTCTCTGGAAGAAGGAATGTGTTTGGCCAAATTTTGGCCATAGTCCTCCTTGGGATGTTCTGAAATCACCCTCCCTTTACACCCGACCAGGACCCTTGGCACATCCACGGGTGCTGGGGGTCTGCAGGCCCAGCGCTGCCACCTAAGTGACTTGCAGCTGTACAGGCAGGTGGGAGCCGTAAGGGCCCCGCTGTTAAGAACTTTTTTGAGTAACATGCTATGGGGAAAAGAGAACCCAGTGACTGCAGACGTTTAAGACGCAAGCCTATGGGTCTGTCACTGCCGCCTGTAGGGACGCTGCATGAACTTGTTTTGGCGGCAGCGGGGCAGGATAAAAGCCAGGCGGGAGGGAGGAGCCCTCTCCAGCGCCCGCACTGTTGGAAGTGGTGACGGTCCTGTCTACTTCAGATTTCTCATCTGTTCTACTTGACAGGATTGCTCTAAAAAAATTGTTTTAAGACTTTAAAATATGAAATCGTGGTAAATGCATTATTATCAATACGATACCACTTAATGAATATTACATGGACATTTCTTAATTAAAAAAAGGGGGATGAAGGTGTCTACTTGATTAAACTAAAGCCTATTTTATAAATCTTTGTTACCCTCTCTGGTTACATCATGCAAAATGTTTTATAAGTGTAGTACCTTGGTTGCCCTGCAAGAGAGGCACCTTTATGCCCATTTTACAGATGAGAAAATTTGAGGTGGGAGAGGCTGGAGACTTGGCCATGGTCACAGAGACAAGAGTGGCAGAGGCAGGACTCCAAAGCTCATACTCTTTCTGGGACATAATGCCACCGCCTCTTGTTAGCTGCTGAGCCAAAGGGCTGGAGGTGTCATGACAAATACCCGAGGGCACCAGACTTGTGCCCAGGTTCTAGAAGTCATGGCCTGGTTAGTGCTGGAGATCGCGGCCCAGCAGCCTCCACACACAGTTCCCGTGTCTGAGGATGGGAGGTCTCCCTCATCATCAGATGTGGGGCCTCCCACCAGCAGGACAACGGATGGTTGCTGGCCACTGCTGCCTGCGAAATCTCTGGTCCACCTTCATCCATAATTAGACATAAAGTGAACAGGCTCCTTTTGGAAGCCCATCTTTGGTAGCACTCCCATTTCATTCCATGGAAGATGTAGAGGTCTCCTGGTCATCTAAATGTAGGTTGCCCTGGGTTAGTTAAGCTAATCAGGTTTCTTTCTTCATTGAAGGACTTCTAGAGCCAGACATGTGCCAACAGCAAAGTCTTTCTTCAAGGGCAGGCGGGAGGGACAGACACGGTGGGGTGGTCCCAGGCTCCTTTCTATGACGGAGCACTCTGAGACACATACTTGGAGAAATGCTGGTCTCCTGTGCCTTTAACCTCTCAGGTTATAGCAGCGAAACTGATAAAGTTATCTTCCTAGAGACTGGCTCTGGTTCCCTCCAGGGAGAGGTTGGGTCAGAGGGAGCCCCCACGTCATCAAGCAAACTGAATCCCCTGTAGAGGAGGAGGCAGGGATTTGAATCCTGATTCCATCACTGACCAGCCTGGGAAAGTCCCTTACCCTTGCAGTTCCTCAGTTTCCCCATCGATACAAAGGGATAACAGTACCGACCTCACAGGGCCACAGTGTAACCTGTGCCATAGCATAATACAGTGCAAAGCACTCGGAACAGTGCTCGGCAAGTGCCATAAACGACTGGTTTTCATCACTGTGACTTCTCCAGCTCTTCTCTCTAAGTGGACATCTGTGTTTCAGAGAGGCAGTTAAAATGACAGACAAATAGGACCAGTGGCACTTACTTCAGTGTCTGAGCTTTAAAGTCAAATTTGGCTCTGGCAGGTCTCATCTAAACACAAGAAACAATGTCAAGTTAAAATCACAGTTCACGTACAATGGAAAGGACACATTTTCACGCGTTTCCGGAAAGCAAAGCAGAAAGACGCACTCTAACCAGTTCATTCTGGGGTACACATCTGGGCAGGATTCCTCTCGTCTGACCTCAGCAGAACACTAGGTGGATGTTTGGTCAGCTACGTCATGCATGAGCCTCTCCCTAAGGAGGGCCAGATTTGGGGAGGAGGTGGTGACAAAAGACCCAAAGCTGACGTTCTAGTTCCCCACAGCTGACCATGGCTATTAAAAGCAAAACAAAACAAACTAATAAAAAGGGAGTTAGCCAGAAGTCTTACTGTGTGGGAATTGTGACCGTCTTACTCTTACCTCCTCTGTTTGCCTGACTTAAATTACGACCTGCAAATGGATGAAACCCCGATTCACCTCTCACGTCATCTTCAACTCCGTACCTTTCTCATGGCCTCCGAGATCACCCACAAGCCAGAGGAAGTGGGCCCTGCGCTCATTCTTTCTCCAAGGCTTCCCTGCCTATCGGGTGGCTCTCTCCTTCCAGACTCCAGGCCTGGGTGCACCCTTGGCCCGTCTCCCCTCCTTTGTCCGTCTGCCATGAAGTCAGCCAGCTTCCCTCTCCCTCCCTCCCCACTCAGGTCTGACTCTGGTTCACAGGCACAAAGCTTCCTTTGACTTCACTTCTCTCCGCTCTAATCTGCTGTCACTCAGGAGCACAAAGAACATTCCTCAAATGCTTCCATCACATCACTTCCTTGCTTTGAAGTTGGCTGAGGTTCTCAACTGCCCTCAGATCAAATCTCAATTCCTAAGTGTTGTTAAGGCCTGTGGGTAATGTCTCCCCCCTCACACCTAATGGCCTTTATCTCTTATTACACTCTTCCCGTCAGGCAAGTCTGTTTGCCACACCTTGGCTAAACTGCCTTCTCTGTCTGGAATTTTTTCATTTCCAATTCCGGCAAAAAGAGCAAAAAGCTCACCTTTACTTACCCCCATATGTATTTGCACATCTGTCTTCCCCACCATTAAAAGTAGTTATTTTAACTAATTAAAAAAAAAAAAAGGAGGGAGAGAAGTCATGTGAGCAATGTAGCTGCCAATATAGATCTGACTCCATGACCACCTGGTCTAGGGAAACATGTGATGGAAATTAAACCACACACTTCCTCTTCAGTATTAGAGGCCATGGTCAAAGTTCAGGGGAGATGGGCGACCCTAGATCCCGATCCCTCAGTGAGATGCCCCGTGTGGCCAGGCTCCTCAAGCTGGGGTCTTGGAGGGATCTTCTTAAGGGCATGAATTCTCCACAGGAATTTTTATTTTTCATCTTCATGCTGATGCTTCCATCCTTCTATCTACAGACATGCATATTAGAGGTCAATTGAAGGATGACCTTACAACCAATGCTACACAATTTCAATGCCTGCATTGTGTCTGTGACCAAGGGGCATAACTGAACAGCTGTGGGCAAACAAGAAAAGAACGGATGTGGGGTTGATGATAAATGACAAGAGAAAATGACCAAAACTCTAAGGACAAACATAGCAGTGACTGCAATGAAAGTGGTGGCCACTCTTGACAGCTAGTGCTAGAACTGGGTGATGTAAATATTTGCACTAAACAGCGCCATCTGCACACTTGGGGTGGCAATAGAGCTCACGCAAAGTGGTATGACCTACAGTTAAATGAATAAAGTTGTATAGGTGTGTATTTACTGTTTAATTCCTGAATTGGCTTAGGTCAAAACTGGGGGTTGAACTTTCTTTTTTCATTAAAGGAAACCCATATATCACTCAACATGGAGCAACACTGATTCCATTGATCGGTTGGGACGCATTACCTGAGTCACCGTTGCTTGTACAAGCATCTCTCTATCTTCCTAATCTTCCTGGGGCTGAATCCTCTGGCTCCCATGCGCTGTGCTACTTACCACAGCAGAGACACTCATTCCTACCACAGAGACACCTGTTTGGAGGGGGCCTCTTCTGCTGGACTGCCAGCTTCCCAAGGGCACAGTCTGAGTCTGGGTCCCGCCTCCCCACAGGGACTTGCGCAGAACCAGTGGTCACCAAGGTCTGCCTGATGGGTCTGAAGTGTGTCTGCACAGCCCGGTGCCCTGGGACTTGTTGGTGTCTGTTTTCTCATGTCTGTTGGCCCACATCGAGGGCAGTGATTTTCTAAGTGTGGTCCCTAAACCGGTATCATAACGTCACTTGGGAACTGGTTAGAAATGCATACTCTCAGGCCCCATGCCAGAATCAGACACTTTGTGGATGGAGCCCAGCCACCTGTATGTTAACAAGCCCCTAGGGCAGTGGTCGGCAAACTCATTAGTCAACAGAGCCAAATATCAACAGTACAACGATTGAAATTTCTTTTGAGAGCCAAATTTTTTAAACTTAAACTATGTAGGTAGGTACATTGTTATTAACTTAATTAGGGTACTCCTAAGGCTTAGGAAGAGCCACACTCAAGGGGCCAAAGAGCCGCATGTGGCTCGCGAGCAGCAGTTTGCCGACCACGGCCCTAGGGGATTCCAGAACTCAGGTGTGAGAACCACTGCTCTGGAGGGAGGAAGGCAGGCTGGGCACTGTGCCTGCCTCTGTCCATGGTTATTCTACCCCAGCCGCATTCTCACGCACGTGTGCTGTCATCTGTGTGAGGGTGCAGGCCTCGGTGCTTTGGTGTGTTCCCTTCCTCCCACCACTCTCGAGCGAGCCCGCCCAGGAAGGAGGACCAGCCACGTTGCAGCCTCAGAACAGAGCTTTGAGGAGCTGGTACAAGAGGGCCCCGGGGCATCCTTCCCTTGAAACCTTGCGAACTCCTGCCTCTTCCTTATGACCTTTTCCCCATCATGTTAGAGTCTCTGTCCCCTCTCTAGTTTCCCATCTTCTAATCTGGCTCCTCCTTTTCTCTACTTCTTCTTCCCAGACAATTTGACCACTAGCCAGTGCCACCTCTGTCACTCAAAAGATAGAAAAATGAGTATTAACCTACTATTATATTGAAAGACGATAAAACGGAATATACTTTGGGTGTAACTCATTTCTATATCCCCAAGCCCCAGACACTCAGGTCCCCGAAAGGAGCCAACCTCAGCAGGGCCACTGGAGGGTCACGTGGCAAAACAAACTCTGGCACAAGAGGCAGCCTTGGCAGCACCAGGATTTCAACATGCCGACCTCAGGGGAGGGGGAGGAGGCCGAGGCCTGAACAACATCACTTCAAAGGTTTGTGCTTCTTCATTTGTTTTATAATATTAAGTTTCATAACCTCAGCTGAGAAATGTCAAAATTAAGGGAACAAATGAAACGCCTCTCACCCTCCATGAGCTCATCCCGCTGCAAAACTCATTTCAAAATTCACCAGTGAGGCTGCAGTACTGCTGGGCACTTTATTCAAGTACCTCACTGTACCACTGAGAGGCAGCATGGTGCTCTGATAGTTCAATGTTAACGGGACTAAAGTTTTGAGGTTGGTGTAAAAGATGCGTTGCTAGCTAACTTTTGTAACTTAAGTTTCACTCAACCATCTCTTAGAAGAACCTTGTCCTTGTCCACACGGAAGCTAACGCACAGGGACTAAGGTCTAAGGTTTCTAAGCAGAATGCACAGGCAACATGGTATCACGATGAAAGGCAGGATGTAGAGGACTGGACGCATGGAGGCAGCCGATGCTCTAGGCATGCAGAGGGCGTGTGCCAGCAGATCCCGGTCCCGCAGCCAGGCATGCTTGAACATACAGAGCGCAGGACATGATGGGACTCATGTCCACGGGCCAGCCACAGCGAGCCAAAGCGAGCCTAGGGAAGCCAGGATGACAGAACTAATTCGGCCTACAGCGGGCAATGCTGAGGGGAGGCAAATATGGCTTTGGGTCAAGCAGCAGATCGAGGCGACCAAAACAGACCTCTGACCCAGATTTCCTTTTTGCCGTATCGTCTATATTGAGGAGGTCCCCAAAGCGCTCATTAGTGATAAACTGATGGTGCGTTGGAATGACGCCCGTGTGGCGCCGAGCTGCAATATCGGCCTCTTCTTGCTCGCGCTTAAGTCGTCGCTGGTCCGCTAAAAGTTTCTGCCATGAAATTGCATAAAATGGGCAGTGAATCATCTGGTCCAGGGCATTGGAAAACTGCCAACAAAAACAACTGAGGAAAAGGTGCCAGGTCAATAGGAGGAAATTAAGGGTTAGATGCTGGAAGGGCTTTATGGCCACAACTACTATGTTCCGCTATGACCACCCCCTGGCGCCACTCCGCGTAGGAAGGAGACAACCCTGCACAGGAGAAACCAGGGGACACTGGGACACAGCGAAGGATGAAGTCCACACAGTTACACTGTCTGCAACCCGCCCCCGGCTCAGCCCACAGCCCCCTGCCTCCTTACACGCGGCAGCAAGGCCAGGTGACCCAGGTGTATCCATGCATTCCTACGTATGCTGGGCTGGCGGCAGGAGGCTGAAGTGCTGTCCTTCAGCGATGCGTTCCCACAGCTGTTCCCACGGTGGGACCAGGGCTGGCTGACTCCTCTACCCACATCTGACCTACTACACCTGCTATGGGCTTTTACTCTGAGGGGTCAAGGGCAACAAGGTCATTTTTGTGCTTCCTATGTCTGTTACTCTAAGATGCTTGACAGAGTGGAGCTGCCATTTCAGCAAACAGCTCCTCTTCTCCTAGGCCAGCGATCTTTTCTCTGGGCACAGTTTTTAGGAGGCCTCAGCCAAGGCTATGTTTGACTGACAGAGCATCAGTTACTTTCTTGCTATACTTTTAAAGATAACTGTTTCTTCATTAGGTGAAATGAAAGTGAGTTTAATTTGTAGACTATAAATATAGAAGATAAACTAAGAATGATGGTACTTGTGTTTAGAAGAAATATTCTCCCCTAAATTAAGGAAATAGGCATCTATTTCTATTTTGAAAGATCTTTTAAAATAATTAAACAATGTTGCATTTCCTCATTGCCTATTGAAATGACCCTATGGAATAGAACTTTAATGTGATTTCCTATTTCATACCAAACATACATCCTTGGGATTAACATTTTTTTTGTAGGAAAAGCATTAATTATAACTGACGATTCCTACGTTCTTAATAAAACATTAGGCTTTTTTCAGAAGGAAATTAAATGCCCCATGTGACACCTAGCCCCAAATGACGGTGGGCCCAATTTTCCTATTTTTCCAGGGTCACAAATAATAAAGAAACGACTCACCAAAGGTCGTGGGATTTCCAATGCTCGGGTAAGGTGTTGTGAAGATTAAATAAGAAAAGACAAGGAGGTGCTTTGCAAGCACCTGGAGCCCTGGTTTCCAGCTCTCCCTGGGGTAAAAGGCAACGTGGATGTGGCCCTGACAACCACCACCCTCTCCCAGTCCCTTCCTGGATGAGCAAGGAGGTGACTGGTGACCACGAATGTCCCTGCCAGGGCTGACATGACCATTTCCTGAAATGCCACCATCATCAATGTGGATAAGAAAGCATTTGCTAGAAACACGCCAGCACTGACACCCATGAGCTGGGAGTGTGCTTTCCCTGGAGCCGTGGGAAGGGACCGACGCTGAGGCCAGGCCTCTGGTGGTCTGGCCCAGGTCACACGAAGCCAGTGAAGGTGGACAGGGAACGGAGCACTTGGATCTGACCTCGATAAAACCACCTGCCCCTCAGTTTCACCACACCAGCCAATAGCCTGGGGAAAGACATAGTTTTTAAGGGCCTTTGAGCAGTTCAGGAAACGAGCTGCTCACCTTCTGAATGCACCTCTGAATATACCAAACGGCTAAACCAACTACGTGAAATATGCCTCCCGGGTGGCAGGCAGCATTCTATCACAAAACCTTCCATGCTGGGGACTCGGTCTACACAGCGAGTTGGAATGCCCTCCTCCACCACAGCTTCTGGCCTGCAGGGCGGCTCTGTGGCTCAGTGATGGTGAGAGAACCGAGTCTGCTCTGTGGCCTCATGACACTCATGGTGTCTGAGCGTTTCACCTGGTTATTACAAACTACTCTATACCTCAGATCCTTCCTCTTCTTTCTTCCCATGGACACGTGCCAGTGTCTTACTGAGTACTGCCTGCGTTATGCCCGGAGAGGGGAGACCATGTCTTCTCTGTCTTTTGTTGCACCACCCGGCTCTCCTCAAAGTTGGCCTCACCTGAAATCCTTAAGGAAAATCCACCCAAACCCTGAAACCACCATGAAACAGAACCAAGGACTTCAGACTTTGCAGAGAAAGGAAGAGCTGTGTAGACATGAACACCCTCCACCTCCTGCCGCCAGGCTCCAGCCGTTCTTCCAGCTCTTCACTCACGACAGGAACAGGCACTGCAGCCTGTTTCATCCACAGGACCCATTCTCCTGGGCACACACAGTCTAGAAAGCACGCCTCGTACCAACACTGCGTCATAACAGATGCTGTGATGTGGCCGTCAACGGATAGGCAGAGCGGCCGCCTCCTAAATCCCAAGGGAACGCACTGCTTTCCCTGCCCTGTCAGTCATGCCTCCACAGCTGCAAGGAAAGGGCTCAGCCTGAAGCTCTTGGTGGGAGTTTAGCAACGTTTATTGGGGCATCTCTTCTTCTGAATACAAAGGCAACATCAAATGGTTGCCTTTTAGTGACCACAGTATGTATCATGGTCATTATTCTTCTCCAGTTTCCGCTTCCTCCTACTGCACCCTTCCCAACATGAACTGTGCTTGGTGCCAACAGAGGGATGGCAGTACTGGAGAAACATGTGAGAGGATTTCCCTAGAGAATAATAAGGCCGGGGTCTGGCGGAGGGATGAAAGAGCAAAGAGCAATACAGGGTGGGCAACCTCTTCTTGGACCTCCTGGGGGGCAACGTGGCGTTCAGAGCCCAGTGCCTTAGAAAATCTGCTTTAAGGGAAAGTGGACTGAAAGAGGCCTGACTGCGCCAATGTCATATAAAAAGTCACTTCTGACAAAGCTAATCTTGGCTTCCAATTGCTACGCCACGTCATCTCTCTGGCAGATATCTGGGATGTTTACTTCCTTCATATTTTTCTCTGCCCAAAGCCAAGAGATTTTAGAGATGGCACTTACTTCTTTATCATCATGACGCCTTCGGATGAATTCTTCTGTGGATTCCAAGTAGTCAGCTGGTATAAAATGTCTTGGTGATTCTGAATCTTCAAAAGAACAAAGTAGAATTAAAACAGGCAAAGATTTAGTGGGAAACCAAACTGGGAAAAGATTTCACCTTTCATCCATTCTAAATAGCAGATTTTTTACAGTTGTAGAGACCAG